GCATTTGGGGATAGAATCTGAGCTCGTGGGATCCCTAATTCTCTTATGTGTCCCTAAAATTTAGTGGAATCTGTCTGCGCAGTCGACCATGGTTTTTTTTGATTAGTGCAATTGCTACTCCCATGGAAACCTAAGCTGGAGGGCGTGGGCTCTACTTGTCTCATGCTTTGGGGAACTTTGGAAAACTAAGATAAAGTTTTGGGCATGTGGCTACCGCTATATCTACCCTAATAAGTACAAAATCAGAATAATCACTGCAGGAAGTGGCAGTAATTGGTTAGGATGCTTCTGGCTCTCGGGGTTCCCGGTGCTGGTGTCTCACATCGTTTAACCTAGTTGTGGGTAGAGAGGTTGCCCGAGCGCAAATGTCTGGAGAAAGACTGTTGAACATAAAACGCTGATGCCGAACAAGATATAAAAGCGGTAGACGACCTATTGTCGATCCGTGAAGAAAACACCACCATTAAAGATAAATAGAAATTAGGAAAGAAGGAAGGTGCACCATCCCAACGCCTCACTCCTATGTGCAAAAACGAAATGAAGAATGAAAAGAAATGCAGGAGCAGGAAAAGAAAAGTCAAATCCATAGTATCCAGCGAACTCCACGGGCTACCCCAGTGACCATAACCCTCAAAAATCGGATAACAACAACTACCAACCAGACCCACCACATAACTCCCAGTACCACCCACTCAAGCATCACGTACCCAGCCCTCCTAATCCATCTAAACTTTCTTCGCTTCCTCCTCATTACGTTTGACAAATCGTCGTTTACTGCTTTCACCGCCAATGTGCACTTCGTGGTCAACTCCCCATTGAGCTCGTCGGCTCCATCAGCAACCTCCCCGAGCAGGGTTGCAAGCCGAGTCTCAATATCATACTTGATGCTATCAACTAGCCCCTTGAGATCCACGACAGTCGAGGTGGCAAACTCTCTGGACTTCTTGACAAACTCCTCTTCCTCGCTGGCCATTCCGCGAGAGACGGCGTCAATAGAATGCACCTGTTGTTTAGCCAACACCGCAATTCCGGCGCCATCATTGTTATTCGAGATTCTGTCTAGGATAGTTGTTCCGGCTCTCCCGGAAGTAATCCCCCGAGCAACCACCCCAGAAGCCAGTAGATATGCTCTTGCTCTGATCAACTCCTGTTTACTCACAGCGGACCCCTTACCACCGCTATTCCCCATAATCTGAGGCCCCTTCTCGAGTCCTGGTCCGTTGTTCTCGTTGCCCCCCCGAGTTGCTACCCCACTCTTCGCTCCATTTCTGTCGCCAATTGACTGGATATTGATCGCTCGTGCTGGCGATGGGTCTCGTGAGATGTAGGACCGAGTTGGCTCTAGATTGACTTTAGACTTTTGGCTTCTACGCCTCCTTCCCTCCTCGTCTGATGAGATTTCTGCGTAGTTGTCTCTGGTGCCTATCTTGGAGATGGTTGGTAACGCCGGTGTTGAGGGATGGCTACCAAGTCTTGGGGGTCTAAGAGCGGGCCCTTCTGGAACTTCCGTTGGCGATCTCCCGTGGCTGCCTTTAGAACCTCGGCCCTCATCCTCTGCTTCTGACACGGAGAGTGTGTTCTCCCTCACGAGTCTTCCTCGGTCATCTTCACTTCTATAGCCCGAGCTCTCTGCCTCCGCAAAGCTTGACCCGGTAGGGCTTGACAATGCTGAACCGCCCTTTTCTGCATCCCTTCTCCGGATAAAGTCTTCAACTTTGGCAACCTCGCTTCTAATCCTCTCGACTCTACTCTTGACTCTACCCATTGCCGACCCATCCTTATCCTTATCCTTTAGTTTCCTTCCATTATCACTGTCAATGCTCTCCTTGTGCCTATCATAACTAGACTCTCTCTCTCGCCCCACAGCTTCCATACTCTTCTCTAGTAACTTCTTCGTAGGGCTAGCCTTCCTCTTCTCGTCTCTTATCCCTTCCATTTCATCTTTCCTTTTAGTCCTCCCTCTCAAGTCCATATCCTCATCTTCCCCCCTGGGAGTCACTCTTGGTGGGCTCAATGAAATCGCAATACTGGGTACAACGATTTCTCCAAAATCAAGGCTCCTACTGCCTGCCGGCAGTCCTGTAGGGCCAAAGCGCTCTAGGCTACTTCGACTCCCACCAAGTGTGGTTGGTAAATTGGCCCCCGTCCCAACACCCCCCACACCAGCGGTTTTATCAGCGGTAGCTCGTGCCAGTGCCAGAGTAGTGGCGGGATCGGTGTCTTCGTCTCCGGAATAGCTTCTCCGGGGGGGCGGAGGTCGATCTCCCATCTCTACCATCCATTCCATCTCCTCTTGCTCTTGCCGCCTCCGCTTCTCCTCTGGGCTTAGAATGTGGGTGTCACCGATCCTCTTCTTTTTCGTCTTTTTTCTCCTGCCGGGCTTAGTGCTCGTAATAATCTTTCCTAGCTTTTTTCGTTTACTATGCTTTTTCTTTGCTTTTTGATCAATATCACTATCAACCTCTACCCCGGACATTTCGTCATCATAGGTACCCTCACTCTCACCGCTGTGACTACTGTCTCCTTGGGATGTACACGCGCTGTGGTACCCCACGTCGTTTTCTGGCTGTGTACTAGGTTGTAATGGTCCTCGCTCCATAAAACCGGGTTTCGACCACTTCTTCGAGCTATCACCTGTATCCCTTCTTGTAATATCATCGCCGCTCTCGGGATCACCCAGATCACGGATGCTCCTCTTTCTGACTTGAGAAGGGCTTCTTGCTCTTCTCTCCTCCCTATCAATCAAACTCTTCAAACTCAAATGGGTTTCTCTCTGCCTTTCTTGCTTCTTTTCTTCGATCTTGCCACCTGCCCGCTGGGTTTGCTCCATGCGAAGCCTCTCCGATTCCTCCATCCAATAAAAGTCCGCCAGCAGCTCTTGAGGGCTAATAACCCAGTCCATCCGTGGCCTTTTCTTTTCTTCCGTTCTGCCGCTAGGGTGCGGAGGAGGAGGAAGCCCAGGGAAACCGGTTTTACCACCTTCCGAGTCATGAACGGCTACTGCAAGGTCCTCGATCCACTGCCCGACGGCGCCCGGATCGTCCCATGACGACAACTCCAGTTTGATTCTCTCACGGTTTCTGAATCTCTTGTTCCTAATTGCCATCAACGGATTAAAAGTTCTCTCACGGGAATAAGGTCCAGCGATATCTCCTTTGTTTGGTGTACCATGAGCAGAGCTGCCCGAAAGTAGGTCTTGCGTTGGATAAATCGTGAGAAGCCTCTTATATAATGACGAAAGCTCTAGCTGCTGTTTTGCCTTGAGGGCTCTCTGAAGCGTAGCTTCGGTGGGTTGGTATTGTTCTCTGAATTCCCTCAGCTGCTGTTGATGCTGAGCCAGAGCACTACGCTTTGATTGCAATTGCTGATATGGAGCTATGGGTGGCGGCAAGGGTAGAGGTGAAACTGGCGAGAAATTTTGCTTGCCAGTAGTCCCGCCCGCCGGCGGCGGGGGAGATGCTATCGGAGGATTTAGCGGAGGCAAGTGACGCCCAAGGGCGCTGAGCGTGCCAGCAGAAACGGATTGCCCATCAGCATTGGTAACAAGTAGGTTTGTAGGTGAAGCTGCACGAGCTCTTCCCCCAACATTCGCAAAATCCACATACCTTTCAGCCGGAGAAGTTGGTCCCAATCCCCGCCCGTTCCAAACGTCGTGACTAGCCTCCCTCTCATCTAGGATGTCGGGCAAACGCCTACTGCTAGATACGCTCCGTAACTTTGCGCCTCTTCGTCTCGTCTCGCTCAGTCCCAGAGCGAGGGAGATAATTTTTGCCGGGTCGGCATCCGAGCCGTGGATTGGAAACTCCGATAAATCTACCGTGTCCCGCTCTTCTGCCTCCCGTTCGATCCGAGCCGTGCTCGGTTCCGGGTAATTGCTGCTCTCTCTTTCGTATCCGGCATCTCTCTCCCGATCGCCACGCTCGCGCGCGGGATTTTCTGAATACCTCCCGCCCTCTAAACTTCCGATACCGTCGCCGTCAAGCAGAAACCCTCCAGACCTCCTGGACATTTGTGTTTTGCGGCCCCATGAAGAGGGAGTTGAGTGGGAGCCGGTAGAAGAGGGGGCGATGTGCAAAGGTGGGGATATGGAGCCGGTGGGAGTTGAAGATGAGGGGTGGTGACGTGCCCGAGAAGAGGATGAAGCTAAAGTAGAGGCATCGGTCAGGGGAAGGGATGGTATTCGTCTGGCGCTACGATTTTGTGTAGACATCTTCGGAGCCACCGTATCTGATTTGGTGTTAGCAGTTAGTAAACGATGATCTAGACAAACGCTACTTCACCAAGCACGGTGAAGCGCACAAAAATGAACCCACCTTGGCCTTCAGGAAAAAGCGAGAGGAGAGACCAATCACCTTGGGGGGAAAAAGGCCAATTTAGGTGATGTGTAGAAGCTTAAATGTCTAGGTTCTGCATAGTGGTAGTGAGAAAAGCTTGTCTGTCGGTAGAATTGTAGCAGCATGATGTTGAGGATCAGCGGTTGACAGCTGGCTTGGCGCAAGTGTGGCTGTGCATCCGATGTTAGGTAAGACAAGGATATCCGCAGCAAATGTATGATTGCGGCAACCTATCATTCTGCAGAATCGACCTTCACGGCAAACAAGTTTCCCCAACCCTCGACACAACAGCATTCTATGTCATTACTTTAATTATCCATTCCGTATAATGATCCTAATTCATGCAATGGGCACAACTACCGAGTAGATTTCATTCTAGTGAGGCGGTTTCCGCAATGATAGCTCTCAGAGCTGAGACAATGTTTGTGTGGATTTTGGGGGGCTAGTACAGTACAGTACAGTACATTACTTGGTGAGAAAAAAAGGCTTTGGCTGAGTGATATGACGATATAGCTTATCGCCTAAAGCAGTGTTAAGATGCCTATTGCTATGGTAGTATGAAAGATTTACTACGTGGCGCATGCATCCGTCAGGCCACCGCAAGACACCAATCCATCTGGGTTTCTCTCAGTACCATCCTCCAGTAATCTACCGTTATGGGGCTTGCGCGGTCTGACCTAGACGGGAATTATCAATAGTGTTGCGGCTCGCATCAAGAACGTAGCACACCCCCAACTAATGCCGTGTTTCTCGGGCCCGTCCTTTTAGGAGGGGCTACAATAGCCAATTCTCAGGCATCCTGAAACTGCTCTTTTTTAAGTTGTGCTCAAAGAGAATGTCTACGAATCATACCCTAATGAAGGCAGGGAAGTGGAGGGAAGTGGGTATTTAGGGTCCTGAATTGCAAGTCTAATTTCAAGGGTTTACACCCTTGCCAGGTGGACCAAAGAACCAGGTTGCCAAGCTTTGTACAGTAGTTCACTTGAGTCAACCCGATGTATCATATCTATTTTAGCTTACTACGATATCGTACCAGTAGAATTTTCCCAAAAGAATAATTTCTAAACCTCATCTTTATTAGCATCTACCGTTTCTCTAGTTGGCAGCGACAACAGCATGTCCAGCGAGGCTGGAGGAGAAGCTACCGATTGTATACTCAACTCTCAAGTAGCCCGTAGAAAGAGCCTGCTAAAAATGCATTATTTGAGAAGATCAGTGGCGACCTATCCTGCACACATTATCGCAGAGGTACTAGCAAGATTCCCACCAACACTGGAGATGGTTGCTATCGTAAAGTCCAGATTTCACCCCAGGCTAAAGATGTCTTGCAAGAATATAAGAGCTCTAACGAGACTACACCAATTCTCCGGAACACGTTAATTAATTGTTCCACCCTAGCTTAGCTAGGAATATGCGAAAAAACTCCTGACGCAAACTCCTACTCCCTCTATGTCCACCTTCTATCGAGTGGCACAGGCTCTGACCAAGCCTACCCTATAAACAGCTTCTAGTTCTTCGGGTCCTGTAATGACCCACACAATGCCCCCTCGACAATCTGGACGAGCGCCAGCCCCGGTTCCCCTAGCATAGTGGGTCACCAACCCGGGGCACTACAGAGCTAACAGCTACCCTGAGAGCACTCGCCTTAACCCTTGGGTTTGGAATAAAGGAGTCAATGTGTTATATATTTGCCAGCGGAACGGGATGGCGTTCTCTTATAGCTTGCCGAGCAACGCTGCATTCGTTAATGACTCGGAGAGCTTGAACCATTCGGACATTAGTAGTGGGCGGTGCCTCAGGCAGATGGTACTTCCGCCGTAAGGACCTTTCCGAGCGGTAGTGTGGATGTGACACCTAATACTAAATCGAAGGCTACGCATGCATTGCAATGTTTTGCGGGGAACTCAGTTTGGGAAGTTTCCCGAGTATGGGCCAAATAATTATAAGATTAGTGTTGTGAATCGAACCAGCGGGGGTGATTGCAGCCACTAATCTAAAGGGTTAGGAAACTAACTTTTCCTAATGTACTATGACTTATATAGTATGGTGGTGGGTACGGACCCACGTTCACCGCATTCTTCATGAAGTATAAAGAGAAGATTAGGAATGCGGATATGGAATACGAAGGTGCGGTGGATTTACACCCTGATAATCTCTGAACTGTCAACGGTTGGTAAATGATGTACCCTCTAAACTTTCGTCGCTACCTATCCTTCAGCATCGGAATCCTCACCCGTGAGTTCGGATATCCCGAGATTACCCATAACAAGGCCTATGGCCTCCAATTTGTCACTGAAGCCCAATAGGGGTCACCATTTCAATGTTTTCGCCATTCTAATGGCTACAAAAGCTGGATGCCAGTATGCCAAAGGCTGGAAAGAACCTGATTCAGGTAACATTGGTAATGCTGGGCAAGTCAACAAATCCTATCGTTTTACTGGCTATTTTGCCCTAAATGGCTCGAGAGTGTAAATCATATCATACACAAACCATTCTAGGGCGGGTCACTCGGGTTACTTAGTGGAGGAGCTTGAAATTAAGTGATATAGAGATTTTATTACGACATCGTTCACTCAAACCCAGAATATTTTCCGGCAGCCTAGTATCTAGATACCCAGTTGATAGTAGAATTCAGACGGCCTTAGGAGTGCCGTTGAATTACAAATAGAGTGTAGACTATGTCTCTGATGCCTCTAGACGCATGCCTCCGTTCTTGTGGTGTATATGATTCTAGAAGCGCTCTGAATGTAAGCTATTTGCCATCTAGAATAGCCTAATCACGCCCACGAATAACCTTCCATAAGCCACCTATTTTCACAAAACGGTGTTTATACATGTTCAGAGACCTTACTCCTCGGCTACTACCTGGTATAATACTGAGAAACAACTTATTAGGTTTGACATATTGTTCTGGGGAATAGCTCTTTCCCAAAAATTCCAAGATACCTTGTGGACTCCGGTACTGGCTCTCGGGGTGATAGGTGATCGGTTCGTAAAAGGGGGGGCTTAGGAGAGCATGCACACCTAGGCCACTAATAGGGGGCCCTTGATGGCCCTGCGGGAGTAATACGGGTAGGTATCGGCTGACGTCCAGAACCACTTCCAGAACCACCGGAACTACTACCGGAATTACCGCACCCCGATTCCTGAAGTCTAGAAATCGAGCGGTCAATCCCAGACCCCGATACAAACCATTACCCAGCTTGGGGGATAATAGCAGAAAAGAGGAAGAACTCACTCATCAATCTCAATATCATCAATAACATACGGGAGCCCAACCTCGGTGCTAATCCTAACGTACACAAGCCAAACCTCAAAAGCGACCAAGTCGGTATACCCGATCTGATCCAAAGAGTGTACCCAGGTCCTATAATCCGTCCTATTGGGAGAATACTCTGGCCATGTAAGCCTGTGATCCAACACACCAGTTTCGCTTCCATCCCTCCTATAACCCTTCACCTTGACGAGGCAGCCAAAGCGCGGGTCGCAGGTAGTTTGCTGATCGACGCCCCAGATTCGGAAGGTCTTAAGGTTGAAGACCATTTTCCCTGGGGTGTATGGGACGGACCCGAGGCGGGGTCGGACCTGCACATAGGTGGTCTGATTGTTGGAGATTACGGGGTTGCTGCCGCCGTAGGTGTAGAGACCTTTGCTACTAGGACCGACGGTAGAGTTACCGATTGGGCTGCCGCACTAAATTTAGGATTTGTTAATAGTCATCCCCAGGAAAGAGTCCGTGTTCACTTGCGCCTGAACCGAGAGAGCCCGGAGTATTCGGGAAAGCGGCGCAGTTGAGTACGCCCCATTTGTGGGCGTTCGGAATTAGGATCGGTAGCTTGGTAACACCACTTGTTCCATTTGTGGTCCCCTCGTATAAGACGCCAGGGCCGTGGATGCTAGAGAAGTTTCTGAAGGCCCAGAGGGGGGGATCGCCTCCTGGGGACCTGCCGACTTCTTCCCACTGATATTGATTAATATTGGGATCTTTTTTTTGATAGGACTTAAGTGCTCACAGTAAACGCTGCTAGAACTTCGGTGACGGTTGGAGTGCAAGTCCTGTAGTGGGAAAGTTAGCATCTAGAGGTGGGATAAGTTCATTTGAGAACTTGCTCTGCGAGTGTATAGGCTCCAAGACCTAGGGCGACTAGTGCAACAAAGATTTTCATTATTAAAAGATAGCGACAGAAGGACAGGCAAAATCGGGAAAAATCGAGAGAGGAGTGGCCCGTGGGGAGTGGGAAACTGATGGGTTCCAGCTCGCTATATATCCACACTAGCCCTGTCCAGAGACCTCAGCACAAGATATCCCGTCCCGTGAGCGCTGGGGGGTACGGGAGCCGTATTGGATGGCATCATACGGCTCACAATAAAAAAAAGACCTCAATCCCCAGGGCTGCAATCGCAATCGTACGGGGGCGAACTCTATCCAAGCTCAAATAGAAATAAAAATCCCAAACATAAAATGCCTATATCCAACATTCCATTCGGGCTGCCGGTCAGGTCACAATGCCTCGTGTTCCCTAACACGGAACGTGCAGATTCTCGTCTATTAGCGCCATTACGGAGCCCCATCCTTTTCCCGACGGGCCTCATGAATAACTAAAAAAACGCTGTTGTGCCATCTTACGGTGTTCGGCTATAAATTGCGGAGAAGTGATACAAATCTCGACTTGACTGCAGGTATCGTCCCTTTGCTGTGTCTTGTGCACAGAGGGTCTTGTTTACACATAACAGGGTCCAGAAGGTGTCCTTCCTTAATTGGTGACGAATTACGAGAGGTTCAGGCTCGGGTCCTACTGTCCCATCCCTTGGGCACAGTACCGGTAGCAGACAGAGGGATATCGTAGTCCTGTACCGGTAAATAGAGTTCCCAGGGCGCACCGTGGGACCGAGTGGCCAGAATTTTTTTTTAGTTCCGCAGTGAGGGATAGCGAAAATGGTAATGGTTGGTCAAACCTATGAGCGCGAAATAGACATTGAAGATAGGCGCGCGAGCCATGTACCCGCTCATTCCGGACTACCGGTGCCGTGCCCGTCAAACTGGACGTGAGAAACCGTGGGAATTGTATTATTAGAAAGTGGCTGGTGGAAACCTGTCCTGAGGGCAAAGCTACTATAGTAACTTGTCAAGATATATCTAGTGTGACATGCAGTGGCACACATGGTGGACTCTGACCGCTTAGTATTCAATTCACGAGTGAGGATTCATGAGCTGTGATTGGCGCTTTGGGATCTGGTGCTCAGGTTCTCGAGCACATTTACGATGCTCATGCGGGATAGGTGCGGAGGTTTAGGGGATTAATAATGTTCATAGAATTAGACGAGCAAACTCACTGAGCAAATTAGACGAGCAAACTCACTGAGCAAGTCAATAGTTGAAGAAAGCAGGATGATTAGGAAGGGAACATAGGGGTCTATTTTGTGGGCGATGCTCTAAAATTTTAGGGCCTGTTTGGCACGCCAGGATCAGCCTAGGATTTGGACTTAAAGTCTGGGCTTGAAAACTAAAGTCCAAAAACTCTAAACTCTGGACTTTGTAAACTAGCCATACCAAACATGACAGCATTTAGATTAGGACTAGGGAGGACTTGTGTATCTGATGTAAAATAATAAAGATAAGATCTAGGCATGTGCTTTGTTTGTGCTTACAAGCTAAGAAAGTAGTTAAGGCTAAGTTAATGCCTTCTTGAGTTTGCTTTGTGACAAGTGTTTTTTTTTAGAGAAAATCCTGGTTTGAAATCCTGATCTACGAGTAATCCGGGGGTGGAAATCTAGTCCAAGTCCTGACCTGCCAAAAACAAGCCCTTAGGGAAGTTCAGATTCTGCGCAACCAAGGCTTTGTGTGGAGGTTTCTATTCTGCGTCTTATCTTATCATGCCGCAAGGAGTATGATATTAGCATAATATTTTGTTACCCTACTTTGACTCCAAGTGGTGCCCCTGATCCTCCCAGCAGCTGTGAAATGCGGCTCTGGGCCCGGCTGCAGGGTGCGTGGTCACCTCTCGCTAAAATCAAAAGCCTTTCCCCAACCTTTAATTTACTCGGCTGCAAACGATCGAACCACACCCTACTTTTTTACTTGAGGCTTACCTCCCATAACCTCTCAACATCACCAGCGACTCTATTTTCTAGGGACATTTGATTTATGAGTGCAGGTGATAGCTATCAACACAATTCTCCTTGTCGTCGGGGCTGTTAGAGAGGAGCAATTGCTGTGTTGCCACTGGGGCTATACCTTGAGGACAGATTCTTGATTTTGGCGAGTAGACTACCGGCATTCGGACCAAAAGTCGCGTCAAACCATTTCCCCCCGTGCCCCAATTCTTGTCTCCCCACAGGAAAAACAACAATGTCTCGTTCCAGAGCAAGCTCGATTTTCGGTCCCTCCAGCCCAGATTTCGATGGTGACGATGAAGACGAAGAAACGCATGAGCAGCAAGACCAGACTGGAAGTCAAAGCCCAAACCAGCAATTGGCACGAGAGAACGCCTATTCCCTAGAACCTGTTGCTTATGCATCAGAGGAGGACGAGGATTCAGATGCCGAGAGCGTTCACCGTTGGGGTGATAAGAGAGACACCGCAACCTCGGTCAAATCGTATCAAGCGCTTCTAGCTAGTCTTGAACAAGTACATCATCTCTCTCTTTCACGGCATCTCTATTCCGCCCACCTTATAAATCGTCAACACCGTTCAGCATCTGCATCTTACAAGCAGCCTAATAAGCGTCGAAAGCTCGCCAAGGGGGCGGGCTCCGAAGAGGGACAGTCTGAACGCCCATTCATCACCCCTTACTGGACCGCCTGGCCCCTTCCTCCCGAGACTGTTCCCCGAGAAGCTGACCACACGTATGAGGCGGTGGGCTTATTAAAATCCGGGCCCAGGAAATATTATCACAACGACAAAGCGACTTACGCTGAGAGAGATAGGAAGGAGCCAGAGCCATCGCAAATGCTTGAAAGCACTCTCATGGCAGCTTTCATCAGAATATCGAAGGAGAAGATAGGGGGCAGGAATAAAGAGGGGCTAGAGCCATCAGTCGACGACGAGCTCTCAGAGAGCATACTTAGGCCGGTGGTTAGAAATATTATTTCTAAACTCGATGGACTATTGACAGGCCTCTATTTTGAGCGAGAGCCTTATGTCAGGAGTATGGTCAAAACTTTATCCTGCAAGGTGGTGGATGGTTCTAATCCAGATGGACAGTCGACTCCTGATGCCGGTGGGAGGAAGATTAAAGAGAAGGACATGCCCGACATTTTGAAGGGAACCGAAGGCAAGGACGAAAACCCAGGACCTGACGAGAATTCGGGGATACCCCCCCATCGCCGGCGCCGACCTTCCCACAGCTCGCCCGCCACCTCAAAACTGAACGCCGAGAAGCGTATGTTAGCGGTAAAAAATCGGGATTGGAGTCAAGTCCTTGGTATTGCTGCCTTTACTGGCTTTGCACCAGCCAGCCTAGATAGAGCCACACAGCGCTGTGGGCCGCTCTTTGAAGAGACAATGTCCTGGCGGCGATTAAGGGAATATGATTCCATAAGTGACCATGCTGGCGAAGCTTGGACTGGTGGAAGAACGCGGAAGCAGCAAGACGCTGGGGGGTTTAACCTTAGCAAGCCCTTCATAGCCCAAGATGGGTTTATGCAAGAGCTTGTAGATGTGGGTAGAAGGAAAGGGCGGAAGGGCAAAGGCAGATCAAGGAGGGTAAAGAGGGACGATGGAAACAAGTTGATAAAGGATGAAGAGCTCGGGGGATCGCTTGTCGATCTATCGGCAAATACATCTTGAGTCAGTGGGTGGCTCTTAGCGGTGCTCAGTCAAAATGGAGCTAGTGTCAAAACTCAGTGAAGATTGAATAGACAAGGTTCTAGGTGCCTTTTCCGATTAGAGTTAGCAACACCTAGCCCTGTACAGACGGGACGCCGTGGTGGAGTTGGATACAGGCTACTGGCTGGGGTGTTTTCTTATGGTTACAAGATGATATATTAGTTCCTTGCGTACGCTTTTATTATTTAACACCAGGGTTCAACCCTGTTGTAAGTCTGCTGTAAGCCATGATCATATAGCTTCCTGATAAGGAAGGAAGAGATGTGGAACGATCAGGACAGACTGAAAGCGGTAAAATGTACTGAATAGGGTTGAGTGAGACGATCACGGCAGATCAGGCTAAGTGTATCAGTTTGGAATGGAAGGATATTTATGAGATGAGAAATACTTATTTAAAAGGGTAGATAGCTACCTGGCACTTCTTGATGAGGTGGCCGAAACTACACTTTTCTAAAATACTATCTGTTCTGAAGACTATCTATTTATTTCAGGGAACTTTTCTTCATCTTTCCTAACAAACCCTGAATGACCACTGTCGAGTGACCGCTAGTGACCCCTGAATATCGCTGCAGTTCCCAGACTATGACAAGCGTATTCGTAAGGTACCTGTAAGGTAAAAAAGGGTGGAGCGGGTAATTTCTAATTATGGTGCATGCCGTCTAGACACAGCACCAAGTGGGACGCAACGGGGGACGCAACGGGGGACACTTCCGCAGATTTAGGGCAGGACAATAGTGTACATAGGGTTAATTAACATGGCATAAATAGTGTGACATAATCAAAATGATAAATTCTGCTGATCCTCTCTCTTCAAAAAATTTGTAATAATGCTGGCACTTTGATATTTGCTCAGTAAATACACTGCTGATATTCTCTCGCTAAAAAGCACTCAACCTATTGGATTCCATCATTACTGCTATTACAGTTTACCTAATGGCATCCTCTAATTCTGCAGAGTTATTGCTCATGGAACAGACCATCATGATTCCAGAGATTCCAGTACCAACCCCCGCGAACCCAGCAACCCTGCACAGCCATGCATATCAGGAAAGACTCCATTTGGCTAAAGCACATGTTCAGCAGCCTATGAATACAGCGGCCTATAGTACTGGGGAGGTATATCGTTCAGAGAGATATAAAAACCTTGTATCCAAAAGATATAAATCTCACAGACATATAAATATCTATAAACTATAAGCAGATACTTTGCGATTTTTGTCACTTTAAAGCCCTCTCATTGGTCGAGTTTCTGATTTGCTTTTTTGAGGGTTAGGTAATGGCCAAATCCTGGGTCTCTGATTGGTTAAGAGGTTTAAAGGTAGGCCAAATATGATATCACTTTTCAAAGAGGTTAATGATATCATACTATTAGAAATAGACGATAAAAAGGTCAATGATGTCATAGCCAGAGTATGGCAGGTTATAAAGAGGCCCATGATACCATATTACAATAGCTAACTTAAAGAAAGATGCTAGAATCAACCATACTATAATAGTATTGTTTCATACAATTCATAGTAATACTATAATAGTATTGTTTCATACAATTCATAGTAATACTATAATAGTATTGTTTCATACAATTCATAGTAATACTATGATATAATACCAGAGTACAATATTTAGCCTATACCATTTACAGAAAGATTGATAATATGGTAGTACTATTACCTAGTGTATGAACTAGCCAATAGTACAATAAACTGTGATAAGATCTATAAAGCGATCAATGATATCATAACTATTTAGTTGACTTTAGAAAGTATGTTTTGGTACAACAATACTATGACTAAGTGTCAAAAGTTGTTCAAAAGAGCATAATTGTATCTTAATAGTATTTTGTACATTACAAATAAGCCAACACTCCGGCATGATCAATGATATCATAATATCATGGTTACTCGTGATCTAAGATAAATGATATCATAATATTACTATTAATTTAAGGCCAATGATGTCATAACAATAGGAAAATATATCTACAACGAAGTTAATATTATTATAATATTACTTTAAGAAGAGGGATAAAAGGACAATAATCCCTACAATCGTCACATACTGAGTTCAGTTGATACTTCAAGCCAACCTTTAACAGCTCAATACACATACGACCACTTTTCAGAAGATTTCTTGATTGTTTCTTTTTACACATTTATTCTTTCTGAAAGATTTCTTAGCCCTCTTGAATAGTTCTATTATAACTATATCCTTTACAACTTTTCTTTCATGTCTTTCAACTATCGTGATAATAATACTGCTTATATTTCCTGTTTGATCGAGTTTACTATGAGAAATAGTAAATCTAACTTTCGGAAGATTTTTACTTCCTCTTTAAGTTGTATGGACTTTCAGTTTTCTATATCTGAAGATATTGTTGATATGGATGAACTACCATGTCAATTGGTATGCAATGTTGGCAA